TATCATTTTCAACCTCAAGCCACATGAAATCTGCAGAGATTTGCAGAAAAACAAAGGTCCTTCAAACCATAACCATTGGAGCTCAAAGTGGTTTCATTTGATGTGTCTTTTCAAGACGATCTCAACCATATCATCGCACCATATTTCTTTAAACCACAACTCACTCGATTTGGAAAAAACCAGAAGAAAATTCAAACACGGATTTGAAAATTAACCAACAAACTCAACTAAAACTAAAATCTAACAATCCTAACAACATCAGCACATCAAGGACTACATCTTAGCAACAAACTTGAGTCAAAATGGTTGAGAATTGTACCTGTTGAAGTTCAACTTTGAAGCTCTGAAAATGGAGTCCTCAAGCTTGACTCAGGCCATGATTCTTCAAGTTCTTGAGCTGGTTAGCTTCATTGAATGTTGGTGAAACTAACTGAGTGGAGAATTTGAGTGATTAGGGTGTGGAAATGAAAATACAAAGTTCAAGCTTAAGAGTTCAAATGGGATCTCAGCAGGGTGATTCTAGCTATCAAAGTTTGTGTAAATGAGTGGAATGAGTCTCTTATTTATAGGAGAAACTTTTTGAATACTGAGGGAGGGTGAATGATGCAAATTGGAGCAAATTCGTGCGCACCTGCATCATGAGCAAAGTGTGACTTGCAACTTATCAAAACTCATCAAAAACTTACGTTTCAATGCTCTAATCCACTCAAGTAAGTTGGTTAATCATGTTTAAAGAGAATTTGTGCCTTAATTTGATGATTAGAGGCCATTTGAACCAAATGCAATTCTGACTTGAAGTGAAATTTCAGCTTTGAAATTCAAATTTTGCCACCATGGTTCCCCAATGTAGGAGGCTTTATGAGATGATTCTTCTTGTATTGGATAGAGGGTGATACAATCTTTGTAATGTGAAAAGAAAGTATTGTTTTGACAATCTGAGTTGAGAGGTATGATCCTTCAAAGTTCCTTGCATCAAAAGGTTCAAAATTACAAAACACTTAGAAAATTTTCAAGTCTTTTTAGGGACCAAAAATGACCTATAATGCTTTGATATAAACCAAAGTCTTCCCTAGGTTTTTGGCACTTCCACATTGAATCAAAGTTGTAGAGGACATCTTCAAGTTCATTTTAGAAAAAGAATGGGCTCCAAATGATGAAAAATGATCAAGTTATGATCTTTTGAAGTTAACTAGAAAATCCTTCCAAAACTCAAAATGACCTATACCATCTTCAAACTTTTGATGACTTTCCAAGCATAATTAGACCTTTCCTTGCAAAGAGGACTTGTAGGGAATGATGAGGAGAGTTCATTAGAAAAAGAACCACCTCAAGATGTTGAAAAATGTAGAAGTTATCCCCATTTGAAAATTTTCTAAATTAGGTCAAACACCTTGGACCAACTTTGAACCTCTTGATTATTTCTTGCAAACTAAGACATGGTAAATCACATATGACCTTGAAATAGTATTGCCTTAAATCACACTTGATGATGAGGGATCTTTGGGGCTTGAGAATGCCACAAAGTTAAGAAGACCTTGCTTGAGGTTGAAGAAACATGCTCTTCCTTCTTAAGAAACAAACCATGATACCTTGATCCTTTGTCTAGGGCATTGCTATGCAAAAATGAATATGAAAATGCAATAAAACATAAGCCAAGACACAAGAGGAGAGATGGGCAAATTTTGGGGTGCTACACCATGTACAATTTTCTTGATGATGAGAAAACTTTCAAGGAAGACGATCTTGGACAAATATTTGAAGCCTTTAATCTTCTTAACGTACCCAAAATATATGTCATATGGTTTCTCATGAATGATGGCCTTCTCACAAAAACGAAGAAGAATCGCATAGGCTTAGGGAGTGCAATGTGTTCCTTCTGTGGTGATGTGGAAGAAGAAATGTTGCACATCCTCAGAGATTATTCGCGTGCAATGGCCCTCTAGATGATAGCAGTGCACACTAACAAGAGGTTTATCTTTTTTGCAGGTGATTTGAAGCAATGGATCCATAGCAATATGCAAGCTAGTATGAAGTGGTATGATAAAGATGATTAAAAGTTGTTTTGGGAGAATGTTTGTCATAGTCTTTGAAACAATAAAGAGATTCATGATGATAGTTACTCTAGATCAATGAGTATGGTGACTCACATAAATAAGTTGGTGCAAGATTATAAATAAGCAGAAGCAGAATCTGCAACAACCACAAACAAGAATCATTTCAGAGAGATGAAATTAATAATATGGAAAGCTCATGCAATGGGGTGAGTGAAGTAAAATACAAAATCAGATCATATCTCCATCAAGATAGTGATATTAAAACCACTCATGTTTATCCCAAAGCAAATTTATGTGAAGAAGTTCTAGCTAAAAATGAAATGTTTCATCTAAATGATAAGTATATCTTTAACTAAAGTCCTCTATTTGTTACTCACTTGTTAGATAGTGATTTGATAGGATTTTCAATGCCGGTATAATCTTTTTCCTTGTGCATAGGCGCTCCTTTTAATAAAAAAATATATCATAAAGAAATCATTCGACAAATTTAAATGACAAAATTTCTAACTCTTTATACTTTAGAAATCAAAATAGAATCATAAAATTTGATAAAGAAAATTAAAACTTAAAAATAAAATTAAATATCAAAATTATAATTTAGCTTAGTATATTTGAGGCACAATGGTCCATATAGAAGATAACCGAAACATTTACGGTGTATTTGATTTGAAAGAGAAATTGTAATGACAGAAATAAATAAATGAGAAATAGTATAAAAAAGAAAAAAAAAATATAAAAAAAGATTTTAGATATTGATTTATTAAAGAAATAGAAAAATTAGAGAAAAAATAAATATTGTATATTTTTTAAAAAATATTATGATATCTTTATGTTAAATGATAATTTTATTTACATTAATTTAATTATTTTAGTTTAAATTCAGTTAATTAATTAACTATAACACCGGCTTGTTTTAAAAGAATGTATATTTTCTTTAGAAATGAAAAAAATTAATAAAAAAAGATTGCGCATTTGCAAAATAGTAGTGTTTAATGAGAATTTTGCAAATGTATTTACAGAAAAATGCTACAAAAGGGAAGACACTTTCTTTATTCTTTTAAAGATAATTACTCTTAAATATTCACTTTACATTAAATTATGTTATCATTGAAAAAAAATCTACAACATAATCACAAAAACTAATAAATTTGATGAAATGAGAAACTAGAAAGTATAATAGAAACAGAAAAACATTTCTTCTCTCTTTCTATTTCTTCTACATTTTTTTTATTAACTAATATTTTGACTATGTAATCTTCAAATTGAATTGTTTTTAATTTTTTATTTTAAGAGTTTTTGCCAGTTCTCTATTTTATATTTCTGCAGTTCATTGTCATTTTATTATTTTAGCTTTGACATTTACATTTATTAACAAATTGAAAATAAATATTTTTATTATTATGATGCATGATTTTAGTAGTGTTAGTCATTTTTTTTTTGCCATGTTTGTTTTCACATAATAAAGAAGGTTAATATATTAGAGAAGACAAAAAAAATTGTGGACCCATATTTTTAAGTTTCTCTCTTCTGTTTTTATGCCTATCAAACATAACCAATTTAACATTTCTATTGTAATTTTCTCTTCACAACCTCTCTCTTCACAAGTAATTTAACATTTCTATCGTACTTTTCTCTTTAGAATCTCTGATCACAGCTTCTCTTAAAACAAAAAGACATTTAACATAATTATCTTTAAACTTATTTTTTAAAAAATATATATAAATTATTAAAAGAAAAACATTTTTCACACAACATTATCTCTTTGATACATTTCTTGTCCAAAACAAAATCTTTGATTACATTCATTAAATTCACTCAATCATAGATACAAACAACATTATCCCGCAAGTCACTCCATCATTCATTCTCATTAAATTAGCATCTAACTTCAATTTTGCTTCTCTCACAAAATTCCAAATCTCTCTCTCAAACAAAATAAAGTATATTTGTCTTGCAAACAAGTATTTTCAAGTTCTTATAAATAGGTAGTTGATGCAATGATAATTGTCATTGAATTTGATAGAAATAATTACAGTTTGATTCTTTAAAATTAAAATTGAGAAAAAATTAAAATCACTTAATATTAAAATTGATTTTGAACTAGATTAGCCGATTTATTAGATCACATATTGATAGTGAAAAAAGTATTTTCATAGTCTTTAGCATAGTAAATATTTTTTTCAATTTAATCAAATATTTTAGATTTGAACTCAATTCTAAAAACACTAACACGTTTTTTTTTTCTATAAATCTTAATATTCGATCTTGTGATCCACTAATTCAAAAAGATCAATTTCAATCTTCTAACAAAAGATTAATTACACATAATAGAATTTGAACCTAATATCTTGAGAAGAAGAGACAACCCTCCCTCCACCACTAATAATTCTCTCCTATTCAAAAAATGAGTCTCTAACTGAAATTTTTTTTATTTATACAAATAAAAAATATATATTAGCACATAGACAAACACTACAGTCAAATTTAGGATAGAACATCACATGCTTTAGATCTACCTATGTCATGTTACATTCACATTCTAACGTGTATGCTCAAACTCTTCCAAATTTCCTCTCACACTAAGTCTATTGCCAACTCCTCTTCTTTGCATCTATTCCTTCCGTCACTCTCCTATGTCCATTTCTTCTCCAATAATTGAAAAAAAGAAAAACTTTTGCCACCTCATAACTAAATTCCCACCACCTTCAATTTCACACACAAAGTTCTTTTCAACATGTTCCTCTTTGGCATATTTCAATTTCAAAATTTCTTACTTTCCATTAAAGTTAGCTTCTTTCAATCTATCCCATGAGACCCAGATCCTAGTTTTCACTATCTTACAACCCCATTATCTCAAAATCTCATTTTTCTACGCTCTTTGAGATTAGATTTTTCACTATCTCAACACAAAAATATTAGATTTTTAAGATAAAGAAAACCACCCTCATGCTGATAGTTCTAGGAATAGTTTCAGCTACTTTGTTAGTGATTGTTGCAATTTATGGCTTATGTTACTTGAAAAGATCTTCAAAACATGAGGTTAAAGACATAGAAAGCTTAGAAGAAAAACATGAAGAGGTGAAGGAGGATTTAATCATATTTGAAGGTGGAGAGGATTTGACAATATGTGATATATTGGATGCACCAGGGGAAGTGATTGGAAAATCAAATTATGGAACACTTTATAAGGCTCTGTTGCAAAGGAGCAACAAGGTTAGGTTATTGAGGTTTTTGAGACCTGTTTGTACTACAACAGGTGAAGAATTGGATGAAATGATTGTGTTTCTTGGAAGATTAAAGCATCCTAATTTGGTTCCTCTTTTGGGATTTTATACTGGACCAAGAGGTGAGAAGCTTCTTGTTCATCCATTTTACAGACATGGGAATCTTACTCAATTCATAAGAGGTAATTACTTATCTCCTACTTGTTCTTTTGATATACTTTTCCTGTTTACTAGGAAAGTTCTGTGTTTTTACTTCTATGTGAAATTCAGATATTTTGGTTTTGTGTTATGGTTTTGAGTTTGAAGATGTCAGAGTCGTCTTAAGTTTTCTGAGATGATATGTAGTTTAATTATAGATTAACTGTCACAAAATAAACCGGAGTTCTAATTTGTTATGATTTACCCGTAACAAATATTTTATGAGGTGCTTTTTAGCCACAATTTAACCGTTTCAAATTTTGGTCTCTGTACGGTAGTCCGTCTTACACACCCTCAAAAACGGTCTTGTATGTCATAGCTTGATCTTAGATACATTTGAAAACCACTCCTTTAATCTTTGTTAGGTGTTTCTTAGAAGATTACAAATGTTAAATTTTGGGGATTTGGCTTTTCAGTGTTTAAATAGGTACTCTTTGAATTTGATTTTACTTCACATTTATTGATCAAAGATGTTTACTAATCAGATGGGAATGGTGAGAGTTACAAATGGACAAACATACATACAATATCAATTGGTATAGCAAAAGGATTAGAACATCTTCATACATCACAAGAAAAACCGATTATCCATGGAAACCTAAAATCGAAAAACATCCTTTTAGACAGTTCCTATCAACCACACATCTCAGATTCAGGTCTCCATCTTCTGTTGAATCCAACTGCTGCTCAAGAAATGCTTGAAAGTTCGTCTGCTCAAGGCTATAAAGCTCCCGAACTAATCAAAATGAAGGATGCTAGTGAAGAAACCGATATCTATAGCCTCGGCGTAATCTTGCTTGAATTGCTTTCAGGAAAGGAACCTATCAATGAACATCCGACTCCAGATGAGGATTTCTATTTGCCGAATTTCATGAGAAATGCTGTTCTTGGACACAGAATTTCTGATTTATATCATCCAGCTATTCTTTTGAGAAACGGCGTAGATGATGAAATTCAAGTGACAGAAGAATGTGTTCTCAAATTTTTTCAACTTGCTATGGCTTGTTGTTCGCCTTCACCTTCAATTAGACCTAACATTAAGCAAGTTATTAGGAAGCTTGAAGAAATTATACACTAGAACAAGATATATGGTGGCTTATATGGTGACATTGCACACTTTTCTTCGAATTCATCTTCGATAAAGATGTGGTTAAAGACAATTCGCATTTATATATAAGATATTCGAGGGAGAAAATGTAAGTGTATTGCTTACAAAATGTGGAATTCATAACAAATGAAAGACTTCACAAATTACATCTGGTTGATGTGCAGTGTGTGTGAGTATTGTAAACTCTGATTGCCGAATTCGATTCCTAATCATAAAAAAAAGTGATTTGTGGAAAGTTGATGTTGATGCTAAGTGTTAAAGTCAATTGAGGAATTATAGCATGAAACTAATGCATTCTATTTCTAGATCTAAAATTTTGGTTCTCAACTTATTGACTTTAGTTTTAAGATTGTCTGGTAAAATGAGGGAATAAATTTCTATGATGCACCCATCTGAGTACTATTCTCGGCGTACTTTGCGCAACTGCAAGACTTTCATGGAAGAATATGAAAGATTGTTTTACTACCAAGAATGTGCTGTCAAATAATTTGTATCTAACCTATGGCTTTTTCTGTTGTGGAAAGACAGAATCTGTGACAGAGAATTGTTTTTTTTTTTTTTTTTTATATCAACGTTGCCACCATCAAATTCCACGTTATTGCTTTAGATTTGAAACTGTAAAGGTGCAAAGGAATCTCAATAATTGTATAAGCCAGATAGTGGGATCATTTGATCTTTGAACATGGCTCTTATGCACTATACATGTGTCATGTGTCGTACTATTTTAAAACGCGGCACCTGATCATGAAATATGAGTCGAGTGGTTCGATCTTGATCAGACAACGCATGCACTTGTGCATGAAATATGAGTAGATTCGTTTAATCATGATCAGACAACACATCCATCTGAGCATGAAATATGAATTGTTCGATCTTGATCTTGATCAAACAACGCAAGTAGATAATTACATTAACAACAACCATTTTAATATTTAATTGATAAGTTGAGACAGGTGAGAGGTGGTAGTTGGTATGGTAGGTGATGGAGGGTATGATGATTAATTGCTGTTACATCACTATCTATTGTTAAACAACAACCAATGCAAAATAAGTTTAGAATTTTGGTTGTTAATAATAATTCCTTTAATACCAATTTAACAATTACTACTAGTAAAAGTTTAGTCAAATTTATAAGTGCTTTTAGAACGTGGTTGTCACCTATATGAAGGACCAATTAGCCGTGATTTCTCCAAACAAATGGTGGACATGGTAGGGTCCATAACATGTTGCTTGCAATACTTTGCTTTTGCTTGCCACGTTTTTGTTCAAGTTTTTCTGTTTTATATTATTTGAAATATTATTTCACATTATTTATTATTAGTGTGTATTGCATTTGTCTTTCCATTTTTCTGTTCATGAATATGAATCAGATGTTCTGAACCCCTCTAGAGAAATTACACCAATTTGATTAACAAATACTATTACTCTGTTGAGAGTTAAATGCAGAGCTGAAAATAGAATAGGATTGAATGCATTCATTCATTGTGTGGAAGATAATTACAAATGTGATTATTAGGTACTTAAGTACCTTAGCCATGACATTTAATGGCCTAACAACCTAACTAAATACATGCATAATAGAATAACAGAATTTGTATAATGGTCTAATATCCCTCTCAAGTTGGACCACATTTGTTCAGGAGGTCAAACTTGAAACAAAGTTGTGGAATGGAGTGGGATCAAAGAGCTTTGATAAAAATGTTAGTCAATTGTTGATAGGGTGTAATAGGAAGAAAATGGAAGTGGTGTTGGTGGAGTTTTTCTCGTACCAAATGATAGTCTAAGTCTATGTGTTGATCTTTTCATGAAATGAAGAGTTTGCAGCAATACGCTTGCTGATTGACTGTCACAGTTCAGCAATGCGGGAGTTGTGTGCCAATTTAAGGTCTTGTAATAAATATGTTAGCCATTGGATCTCATAAACAATTAATGTCGTGGCTCTATATTCACCCTCAGAAGAGTTTCTAGATATAATGGCTTGCTTATTTGATTTTCATGACATGAGAGATGTCTAAAAAATGCAGAATTATGTAACCCACATCCTAGTATTAGGGGAAATTGCTCCATGAATGACACATAATGTTAGAATTACACTAAATTTATGGATAGTTCCGAATCAATTTTGATAAATAAGAAAAATCAATCACACTGGTAGATTTTGTCTCTTGTTCTTCACTCTTCACTCGAGTGAATCAACCAAATTTGATTGCAAGATGATTTTGCAGTGCAAAGATTATTGAAGAAGAAAATAAAAGATAAATTGGAAAGAAAGGGAAATTAGGGTTTTAGAGAAAAGGGGTAGAAGAAGAATATTTTTGCAAAGTTTTTCTTTCTGTTTTCAAACTGAAATTTTATTCAACTTTTCCTATGCAACTGTATTATTACGATAATAGGGTAGCTCCCTATTTATAGACTGAGATTACTTGCACACCAAGCAATCTCTAATTAACCAACTCAGCTAAAACACATAATAAAGCCAAGTCTAAAATTTTGTTAAGATACACTTCTTCGACATTTCGACATTTCAACAATTTTGACATTTCAATAACTATATTATTTCTGCACACAAAGTATTTCGGCAGCAATAGACTTTGTCGAAATGGTGCTTTGACAAAGAATTACACTTTCAACGCACTACCTAATTCATTGTGTCTAAATTATCTATATTCTTCATATATTTAATTTCCTAAACAATTTAACATGCACTCCTTTCGTCATGATGTCTGCAATCTGATTCTGAGTTTTGTAGTATTCCAAGTTCAACTTCTCTTTTCCCACTTGCTCTCAAAGATAATTGAATCTCATTTCGATGTGTTTGCTTCTTCCATGTGCTATCAGATTCTTCACTAGATTGATAGCAGACATGTTGTCGATCTTTATGGTAATTGTTCCATGATTCTTGCTGTAATTTCTTTGACCAAATTGACCGTTCACGTTGCTCGACATGCATAGAGAGAAGCATATATGTACTTTGCTTTGCACGAAGACAATACCACTACTTGTTCTTTTCTTGAGTTCCAAGCAACTGGTTCACCACCTAGCATAAACACATAGTCAGTTGTGGATTTTATATCCTCAGTATCACTACAACAACTAGAGTTGGTGTAACTCACTAGTTTGCATTCTTTCCTTTATCAGCTGCAAGAAACAAAATGCCATAGTTGAGAGTTCCTTTCATATACCTTAATATCCTCTTCATCACTGCTAGATGTGATACCTTTGAATTCCGCATGAATCTGCTCACCATACCTACATTGTATGCTAGATCAAGACTTATATGACAAAGGTATCTTAATGACCCAGTAAGCCATCTTTATTGTGTTGGATCGACATCATCTTCATCAGAGTTTTTCAACAGTTGTAGTCTTGTTTCAGCAGGTGTCGAAGTCGAAATGTAGTTTTCCATCTCAAATCTCTAGAGTATCTTGCTTGCATATCTTCTTTGATGCATCATCAAGTCTCTACTACTCTTGTAGAATTCGATGCTAAGGAATTATGAAATGTCTCCCAGATCACACATTTTGAATTCCTTGATAAGATCACCTTTGAAGTCTCTGGTCTCTTTCTTGCAGCTACCTATTATCAACAAGTCAACGACATAGAGACATAGTATAAGCAATTCCCTCTTACTTCTTCTTACATATACTTCATGCTCAGATGTGCATTTCACAAAGTTCTTCTCCCTTAGAAAGATATTTATCTTCTTATTCCAAGCTCTTGGAGCTTGCTTAAGTCCATATATGGCTTTATGCAGCCTGTATACCTTGCTTTCTTCTCCTTGTTTCATAAACCTAACTGTTTGGGAAACATAAACTTCTTCATCTAAGGGGCCATTCAGGAATTCACATTTCACATTCATTTGATACATATGTCAGTCGTTCATGTTTTCTAGACCAACAGCCAATCTGAGCGTTCTGATCCTAGCAACAGGTGCAAAAACTTCGTCGAAGTCGATTCCTTCTTTCTGAAGAAATTCTTTCGCCATCAGTCTTGCCTTGTGTCGAGTTACTTCTCCTATGGGATTCAACTTCACCTTGTATATACACTTTAGATCGATTACATTCTTGCCTTGTTGCAATTTGACAAGTGACTAAGTGTTGTTGACTTCAAATGATTCAAGCTAGGCTTGACACCGGTCCAACATTCTTCTTGCATGATTCCTTCTAGCTTCTTCATCACACATTTATTCAGTATGTATGTTGCAGTCGACACATCTTATCCCCATAAATCTTTGGGTAAATGCTTTCCTTTCAACATACTTCTAACCATATACATTACAGTTATGTTCTTCCTTTCTACAGTTCCATTGTGCTGTGGAGTGTAAGGTAGCATCACCTCATGCATAATTCTTTCTTTCTCATATTATCGCACCTCGAAAAATAATTCGAACATACGACCCTCGTGCTAAAGGCGCAGAATGCGGTTCGACAGATTCGTCACTGAAATTTATTTATCCCAAAGAGATGGGAAAGAAAAATATTGAGAAAACCTTTTAAAATAAAACAAGAACAATGGTTTTCGCAACCACGTTTCGAGTTCGGGAGTCAGTTATGCAAGGGGATGGTATTAGCACCCCTCACGTCTGTTGTACTCATTAGAAACCTCTTAGTATGATTTGCGATAGGCGTTATCTAAGCTTGCTTTTTTTCTTCTCAATGATAAATGTGAAACGGTACAATAAAAGAATTCGTTGCTAGGGGAATTGGTGGTTATAGGATAGGGTGCTCGGCAAGGATTAGGGTCATTGTGCCTGCTGTCGCAACTGCGAAAAACACCTGGCAGAAAAACAGAAGAGTCGCCACCGAACGTTCTTTATCCCAAGAGAGGAAAAGGAAACGATCGAAGAAAACCTAAAAGAAAGGAGAAGACAAGGTCATCATAACCAAATCTTGGGTTCGGGAGTCAGTTACGCAAGGGGAAGGTATGAGCACCCCTCACGTCCGTTGTACTCAACGGGATCCACACTTATT